TCTTGGGGCATATATGGTCTTCAAATGCTAAAATCTCAATGTTCCCTCCAGAGGGAGTTTCTCTCCCACACCCCCTCCATAACATGATGTCATCATTATGTAACATTCACACTTTTTTTTTTTTTTACTGCCACCGGCAGTGGCTCAGTCAATAGGTGGTTGGACTGTGAACTGTAGGGTCGCCGGTTCAAGTCCCTGACTAGACCTAAATATGGAGTGTGGACTGCTACTTGGAGAGGTCCCAGTTCACCTCCTGCCCTGCCGTGGTGCCCTTGAGCAAGGCACCGGGCATCCCCCTTCCCCCACTCCCATTGCTCCCCAGGCACTGTTCACTAGCTGCCCACTGCCCCTGGTACTAGGAGGTTATGGGTTAAAAGCAGAGAACCCATTTCACTGTGTGTGCTGTGTGCTCTGCATGTGTGACCATTAAAGAGGGTTTCATCCCTCTGATTCTATCTATGATTCTCTATCTAGCAATCGAACACATTGTATGTGATAGGCTAAGGGGAAAGACATATCTAAGTGTAAAGAGAGCTGGCCAGCTAACCAATCAGAGAATCAGAGCAGACTGTCTGCAGTCTGCTCTGGATTCAGACGGAGGGTGAAAAGAGGTGCTGCAGCACAGGCAGTATTAGAAAAATAAAGACCTTTTTTAACATTAAAGCATCTAAACATGTCAAATACAAATATGAACCTTAACATTAGCATTTTAGGTATGTACATGAATAACTAAATATGTTGGCAAACATGCTTATTCATCTCTTTTTTTGTGATCACATGTCTCATATCTACAGCTAAAGCAAGTAGATGGTAATCCTGGCTTAGCATAAGGACTGGAACACATACATGTGGGCCTTTCATAGCTGAAAGGCTCATGTGTACTATAGTACAGTATAGTATAGTATGCAGTTTAAGCTATTTATTCCTTTTTCCATCATTGTGTAACTTGCACTATTTTACCACACGTTTTGTTACTTATCGCTTTTCATGTCTGAAACGTTGCACTGTTGGAAGAGCTAGGGACTTAAAATGTTCCTTGTCAACAACAACAACAACAACAACGCTGTAGCTTTTGTGAGTGTGACAATAAAGCCTTTGAAACCTTGAATTGAGGTAAAGACTTTTTTCGAAAATATATTGTGAAAAAAAGTTGTACAGTCAGAAAAGTACTGTATGCCTGTAACAGATTGTAACACGAATCAGAACAACATGTTGTTATACGAATTAAAGTTTTTGGGCACAGATTGGTTAAAAACAACTTTCAATTTGTGAGTGATTGCATCAGTTAAGGCTTGGTGGGACAAGTCAGAGATTCTGCTTTGAAAAAAAAAGGTCTATTAACATGTGCTGGAAGGCAATATTTCTCCTCTGCTTCCTTTATGCTAATTAAGCTAAACTAACTAGCTTCTGGCTGTAGCTTAATTTAAATGAAGAGATATGAGAGTGGTATCATTCTTATCTTACTCTCTGCAAGTAAGTGAAAACATTTCATGACAACTCCTTTAAGCATGTTTCAATTACAACTGTGATTAAGCTACAGTTTTGCTAATATTATCGTCTGTTTTCACAAGCTTGTTCTTAACATGTCATGTCCTTAATTCTACCTGAGAAATTGTGCACCTTTAATATTCTTATAGTCTCCTTTTCACAGAAGCCATTATGACAGGAAACGCACCAGAGTAGGCAATATAATAAACTATGACTGAATTCCATTCAGCTGCTTTGCATTTCACAGCTCCCCTGTCACTCTGCCACTGTGTTAACATTAAAAGTAACACCTTTGCATTTACTACCACGGCTGTCATAACTCATAATGACTGCTCTTACAAAGGGATGTTTGTGCGACCTGAGTTTCAACAGTCACATTAAAACAGTTACTAAATCAGCTTACTATCACCTAAAGAACATATCTAGGATTAAAAGACTAATGTCACAGCAGGATTTGGAAAAACTTTTCCATGCTTTTATCTTCAGTAGACTGGACTGCAATGGTGTCTTTACAGGTCTCACTAAAAAATCTATTAGAAAGCTGCAGCTGATTCAGAACGCTGCTACTCGAGTCCTTACCAACACTAAGAAAGTGGATCACATCGCTCCTGTTCTAAAGTCTTTACACTGGCTTCCTGTGTGTCAAAGAATGGATTTCAAAATACTGCTGCTGTTTATAAAGCACTGAATGGTTTAGGACCAAAATGAATTTCTGACCTCCTGCTAAATGATGAACCATCCAGATCTCTCAGGTCTTCAGGGACTGGTCAGCTTTCTGTCCCCAGAGTCAGAACTAAACATGTTAAAGCAGCGTACAGTTATTATGCTCCAAATATCTGGAACAAACTCCCAGAAACCTGCAGGTCCGCTGCAACTCTGACTACTTTTAAATCCAGGCTGAAGACTTTTCTTTTTGTCGTTGCTTTTAATTGAACTATTCATATCTTAGACTGCACTGTAACTTTTATCCATGTATTTTTTCTTTTAATGTTTATTTTATTAACTTTTCTTTTTAATGACTGATTTTAAATGCCATTTTCTTAATGTCTTTCATTTTTTGTAAAGCACTTTGAATTGCCTTGTGTTGAAAAGTGCTATATAAATAAACTTGCCTTGCCTTGCCTTAGTGGCAGAGATTGTGCATACAAACAGAACCTTAAACACTGTCATGTACGTCTGTACGCTAGTTGAGTAAACCAAATACTGTGTTTATTTTATCTGAGGAATTGGTGATTTTAATGACCGGATGAGTTGACACTCTCAGGAAAGTTGGGCTTTTAAAGCTAGTCTGCCAATCTCACTGCTTTTTTTCAATGATCTGTTTGTTTTTGTTTTTTAAATGAAATTCATTGCAACTTGTTTTTTCCCTAGGACTTTGTATGTTGTTGTATGCTTGTAAATAATGTTTATGAGTATCTAGAAAAGTGCCATGTAAATTAAATATGTTATTATTAATACAATATTCAAAGGAACAGTGCAGAGGCTATTGTGAAAAGGACATTTACTCAAATTCTGAAGTACATTTTTGATGTACTTTTCTCGAGTACAGTGTATGTTGATTTTATTAGCCTTGCATTTCAAACTGCAACATTTAAAGTAAATGTACAAATGTATTTATATTGCATGGCAATCTGTCCATACAAGATAATCAGCTTTAGTTTAATACAGAGTTAAGCTAAGGCACACCATTTTATTAACATTTACGTTCACCTACTGAATAAAAACAAAAACAAAAATTCAGGCAGTGGGCGTATAATATTAACCCTTAAAGTATGAGCCTACAGACAGATTACATAGAATAACTCAAATCTACAACAAAGACAATAACTGCTAGTAATACTGTTTATAAGTAATGTAACAATTACCTGATTTTTTTTGTATGTAACTGTAAGGGAATAGAGTCACCTTAATGGTTTGTATCTTGTTATCCTGATTACATAATCCTGTTACAAAAGTTCAATTATTGAAAGAAAGCTGTAGGCCTATAGCTGTCGACTGTACAAACTATGATCACCAGTACAATACATTTGACAAATTCGACTTGGTTTCTATAGTTATTTGAATCCAAAATCCAAAAAAAAAAGATGTTTGCAATTTTTTTCCCCACATTTTCTTTTGTATAGGATATGTACATTTCGGTTGATCGGTTCACCGTCTTTTTGGAGGTCGAATATTCGAATATACATTTGCTTTCAATTCCCATCCCTAGTAAGAACCAGTAAGTTCCCTGGTCCCCTTTCATACAGTAATGTGCTTAAAAGGAAAAGTGTGCAGACGCGAGGGGGCGACGTCGCTCTCTGCAACACCCTGTCGGATCCAGGGAGGGGGAGAGGGAGGGAGGGGGTAGAAAGAGAGAGGGAGGAAGAGAGAGGATCTGCTGTGCGCTCCTGCTCCGAGATCCGACTCCAGTGTCAGCTCGATTCAGTCACACAGCTCCGGCTCAGACATGGCTGGAAATTCATCTAACGTCTCCTCTTTTGTTTCTTTCTGACTTCTATGGCGAGATGCAGAATCGCGAATCTCGCGCTGTTTAATCCGCCGCACAATGGGCACGTCGCTTTGCATTAACTGGCCGACATTGTTGCATTACATTTGGAGTCAGAGACGTATGCTAATTAGCCTCAATTACACTCTTTTTCATATTTTTGACATCATCCTCCAATAAGTAGTTAGACCCCCGCTACTACTCCCCATTTGCATTTTTAATGTACGCCTTATGAATTAAATTAGGGTGTGATGCAACTTCACTACAGTTAAGGCCAGTACGGTGGGGGGGTTAATGATAAGAATGGGAAGATAGGGGAACTAATAGACTCCAGGCTATTAGCAACACGGTGGGACTAAAGCATGGTGCTTCATTACACTGAATTAAAGGAAGTCGTGTGTGATGCTGCTCTGATGGAACCTCGGATCGCACTGATGCTCGCGAGCAAACAACACAGGAGATATTACTTCATTTAAAATGCTTTCTGTTGCCCCCCTATTGTGCATTTGTGTTTCTATCTGAGAAAGAGTGAGAGAGAGAGAGAGAAGGGTAGATTGAATTGCGTCAAGGGCAAATTCATGACAGTCATTGTACTTTTTTATAGCAATCTCACATCCATTCGTCACACTAGAGGTGAAGAAAATAACATTATTTTATGATTAAAATGAATAAAAGCATTTTTTATAGTATGATATTTCAGAAATTCCAGCACTCGTTGTAATTTTATCCGCACAGGCTTTGCGAACTGTCAGCCACAGTTATTCGACTTCCTTAATTCACTGGATGTGTAAAACATTTAATTTCCCTGCTACAACTGAGGCCGGACCCGGAGGAGAGAGGGGAGAAGAGAGAGGAGCGCAGTGGCACTTAACTGGTTTTGTTATGAGGGGCCCGGTGTGTGCTCTGGCTGGCGTCGCGCAGCCCCAATCAGGTGCCATTACAGCCGGTGTTTGAGCATACCATTGGCTGGTGGGGAAAGGAGCTGTGCGCAAAACCAACCCCGCTGCTCACAGTCGCCTTACAGAAGCCGAGCTGCAAACATCATCCGCTTTGAGCGCTTAGGCGCAGTGATTACATGCTCTCAGAGAGAGATAGAGGGAGAGATTCGCGGGGCTTTATTTAGAAGTTGCATTTATGGTAGATTTGCAGTGCGTAAAAGCAGGACTTTTTTCCCTACTCGTGTGGAATGTCCATGTTGTTTTGTGACTTTGTGTGAAGAAGAGGCTGTCTGTTCTGAGCACAGGGAGTGTTGGCTATGCGTCCTGGCTGCAGCCTGCAATGTTTGCGCTGACGCCAAAACTCACAGACCGGTGCAGAATTGATTAAAACAGAGGAGCTCGGATCAAATGGCTGTGCTTCTCACAGCTGAAACGACACAATGTTCCACTGACCCGAGGCACAGGAGAGGAATTTCACAATCGTGCAGCCTTGTTGCTGTTTATTTCACTGCCTTTTTGCGGACAGAGGACATGGGAAATGCAAATGTATTGTAAGAAAAAGGAATAACACTTTTTTTTTTTCATCTTGAAGTGCACTTTGTGAGAGGAGATGATTTGGTTAATACTCCTTCTCTCCATCCTGCATGGAGCTGTTTCTCAGCTACACTACTCCGTGCCAGAGGAGCAGGAGCCTGGCTCCGTGGTTGGGAATATTGCAGAGGATTTGGGGCTGGACATTACCAAACTTTCCGCTCGCCGTTTCCAGACGGTGCCCAGTTCGCGGACACCTTATCTGGAGGTGAACTTAGAGAACGGAGCGCTTGTGGTGAAGGAGAAAATCGACCGAGAAGAAATCTGCAAGCAAACCACCCCGTGCCTATTGCACCTGGAGGTGTTTCTGGAGAACCCGCTGGAGCTGTTTCGCGTTGAAATTGAAGTGATGGATATCAACGACAATCCACCCAGCTTCCCTGAGACGGACATTTCCGTGGAAATATCCGAGAGTGCCATCCCCGGGACCCGTTTCCCGGTAGAGAACGCCTTCGACCCGGACGTGGGCACGAACGCTCTCAGCACATATGCCATCACGAACAATAACTATTTTTACCTTGACGTGCAGACACAGAGTGACGGGAACAAGTTCGCGGAGCTGGTTCTAGAGAAGTCTCTGGACCGGGAGCAGCAGGCTGTGCACCGCTACGTGCTGACGGCTGTGGATGGGGGCATCCCGCAGCGCACTGGGACGGCTCTCCTGGTCGTTAAAGTGCTGGACTCGAACGATAACGCGCCCACCTTTGACCAGTCAGTGTACTCTGTGAATCTGCGGGAAAACTCTCCCGTGGGTACTCTGATCATCCAGCTCAACGCCACAGATGTTGACGAGGGACAAAATGGGGAAATAGTTTATTCTTTCAGCAGCCACAACGCCCCGCGGATAAAGGACTTATTCAACATTGACGCCAGGACAGGTAGGATAGAGGTGGCGGGAGAGGTGGACTACGAGGAGAGCAGCACGCACCAAATTTACGTCCAGGCTAAAGACATGGGAGCTAACGCGGTCCCCGCGCACTGCAAAGTGCTGGTGAAACTCGTGGACGTGAACGACAACACACCGGAGATTGGTTTCAGCACTGTGACCGAGTCCGTGAGCGAGCAGGACGCCCCGGGCACCGTCATCGCACTTTTTAGCGTCTCAGACCGGGACTCCGGCGAAAATGGACACATGAGCTGCGAGGTTTTGGGAGACGTTCCTTTCAAGCTCAAATCCTCCTTTAAAAACTACTACACTATCGTGACAGACGGACCACTGGACAGAGAGAACACAGACTCCTACACCATCACCGTGGTGGCCAAAGATAAGGGTCAGCCGTCGCTCGCCACTAGCAAGTCCATCAAAGTGCACGTCTCCGATGAGAACGACAACGCGCCCCGCTTTACGCAGGCTGTTTATGATGTTTATGTGACTGAGAATAACGTGCCCGGGGCTTTCATCCACGCTGTGAGTGCCATGGACCCTGATATAGGACAAAACGCTCTCATTACCTACTCCATATTGGAGTGTGAAATACAGGGCATGTCCGTGGACACGTATGTATCCATAAACCAGGACACCGGCTATCTTTACGCGCTGCGCTCTTTTGACTACGAGCTGCTGAAGGAATTTAGTTTCATGGTGCATGCTAAAGACGGTGGAGCTCCCGAGCTCTTCTCTAACGCCACTGTCAATGTGATCATAGTGGACCAGAATGACAACGCACCCACTGTTATAGCCCCCATCGGTAAGAACGGCACAGCTAAAGAGCACCTGCCGCGCTCTGCTGAGCCCGGGTACCTGGTGACGCGCATCATGGCTATGGATTCGGATGATGGCGAGAACGCACGGCTGTCCTACAGCATTCTGCGGGGCAACGAGATGGGGATGTTCCGCATGGACTGGAGGACGGGGGAGCTGAGGACAGCCCGCAGGATCTCCCCCAAGAGGGACCCGCAGGGCTACTACGACCTTCTGATCGAGGTGAGAGACCACGGGCAGCCCCCTCTCTCCTCTTCTGCGAGCGTGAGTGTAATATTAGTGGACAGCGTGGTGGAGGGCCGCAGTGGGGACCGCGGCTCGGCCTCCAAGGCGAAGGAGACCTCCCTTGACCTCACCCTCATCCTCATCATTGCCCTGGGCTCTGTGTCATTCATCTTCCTCCTGGCCATGATCGTGCTGGCCGTGCGCTGCCAAAAGGACAAGAAGATCGACCTGTACACGTGCCTGCTAGCCGGAGAGTGCTGCATGTGCTGTGGCTCGTGCTGCAGCAGGCAGGCCCGCGGCCGGAAGCAGAAGAAGCTGAGCAAATCCGACATCATGTTGGTCCAGAGCACCAACGTGACGTCAGGGGTCGGGCCCGTGGGGCAGGTGCCCGTGGAGGAGTCTGGTGTGGGCGGCGTGGGAGGGGGCTTCGGCTCCCACCACCAGAACCAGAACTCCTACTGCTACCAGGTGTGTCTGACACCGGAGTCAGCCAAAACGGATCTGATGTTCCTGAAACCGTGCAGCCCCTCCCGCAGCACGGATACGGATCACACCAACCCCTGCGGCGCCATAGTGACGGGTTACAGTGACCAGCAGCCGGACATCATATCCAACGGCAGCATTCTCTCTAATGAGGTAAGAGCAGCTTGAATCAGCCATCACTGAAAGTGGAAAAAGACCCATGATTCAACCCAGATCATACATATCTACAGAGATTCACGCTCTGTGTCTGCTTCACGTCAAAGTCTGTTATCCACCCAGGTCACGCGCAACACAAGTCCCGAGAGGATGTGTGTGTGTGTGTGTGTGTGTGTGTGTGTGTGTGTGTGTGTGTGTGTGTGTGTGTGTGTGTGTGTGTGTGTGTGTGTGAGTGTGTGTGTGTCTATAAAAGGTATGCCATTGACTGGATTAATATGTAGGCGTATAATACCTGTATGTAATCCGCTTGTGTGTGTTTTGTGTAGGAGAAAGAGAGGCTAGGTGATGATGTCTGTATTGAGTCCTTTGAGGCGGGGCTATGGAAAGCTTAAATGAGATTCAGTTTAAAGAGAGATAGAGTGGTAGCTAGTGCCTAGCACTCTGCCATGAGCACTGCATACTGCCTCTATATAGGCATACAAGAGACTCCTTTTAGGGATGAGAACATTATTGTTTGGCTACTGTGGGTTGTATGACATGTGTGTGTGTTTTGTGTGTATAGGGGTTTCATGCTGGTTACATATCAAGCTGTCCACAATTAAATAAATGATAAGTCAACTAACATGCGATTTTGACGACAAATGGAACATATTTTATACAGCATTGTATCCAGTCCTTTCAACCTCCTCTTCTTAAGTTATCATTCAAACATTCACACCCCATTGATACAGAGCAGTGTGCCAATTGCTTTAGTAAGCTAACATTCACACATCGTTGATAGAGAGCAGTGTGCCACTTGCTAACATTCACACACCGTTGGCCATGCCGATTGAAAGACGACCGCACTATCTCAGTCCAACTCGCCCAATGTTTGTACAAAAGCTTGGATCAAGTGACTTAATCAACAACATTTCTAAAATGAAGTTGTTCCACCAAGAATCATGCAAGAGCACCACCTACAATCTTCTTCTTTTACGAATTGTTCGGACCAGTTTAGCCTTTATAAGTGATCTTCCCATATGAAAGTGTGAGATAGGGGTGATAACAAGAATAAAGGGACTGCCAGCTCTACCAAATGGTCCACCATTCTAAATCTCGTGTTTACTAAAGATGTTCTGATAAGGTTCTTCACCATAAAAAAAAGGATGGTAAAAATAAATCTTAGTTGACTAAGACTAAAAGCTAAGTATGGCACGTGTATTTGCCATGAATTTCTGCAGCGTTTGCATAAGTAAATATGGATGTGCACATTCATATGCACATATATGCAGAGCATGCACCAACAGTGTGTACACTCTTATTGTGGATGTGTGTTTGTCACACACACATATTCTATTTCAGGGTTTTGTGGCAGGGTCTCATCCCTCATTCTGTCTCCCCCACACGTTGGCTCTCCGCAACACTCGGCTGATCAGTAATTCATTTCTAGAACCTTTGCATAGCAATTATCAAAGGAGGGCTGGATAGAAGGCTTCCTCATGGGACCAGCGCGGCACACTCTCCCTTTTGGTGCACCTCGGAATATTTCAAATCAAGGGGAAAACCATTTCCAGTTGGCATATCATCAACTACACCTGCCGTGGCTTCCCGCTCGGCCGCTCGTCTGACACTTTAGAAAATAAGTCTCTTGACTAGGTTTTAAATCAAAGGGACGCTTGCCTGTGAGGATTGGATATCAGCAGATACCTTAAAAAAAGTTGGCAAATGGCTTTTCTGAAGGCAGCGTGTCTGGAGTGAGGTACCGCTGTGTCAGGAGCCAAAGCACTATTGATTGACTGCAAGACCTCCCAGCCTTTTTTTTATTGTTAGATCCGAATAAGACTTGGTTTACCTCTTTAATTTCCATCATGAACCTAATAGGAGATGGCGGCAAGAATGATTAAGCAAAATAAAAAAATAAAAAAGGACAGACAAGAGAGGATTACATATTCATTGGCAAAAAAAGAAAATAATATTGGCACCTAAGAAACGTTCGATCAGATGTGGAAGGCTGTGTGACGGGTGGCAGACTGGAAATGATCATTATCTTGACGTTTGTTGTGGTGGGAACAACAGCCGTGACAAATGGGACAATTAAATCACTGTGGCAACGGTGTATTAGATGGCTGATTATGAATTAGTGGCGGGCACCGTGTTGCAGTTTCCCCATGTCAGCCAGCTGTCAGACGAATTTAGCACACAGGGTTCTGAGACACACTCCTCTCAGGCCAGAGATACTGACAAAACTGTGGGCTGTGAACCCTGACTCCATCATCAATTACACCGAAAATACTGTCTTAGTTTAATATCAAAAGCTCACTTAATGAAAGCATGGAGACCTTGCTGAATGCAAAGGACAATAAGTTGTGAAAAGGCAGAATGCTTACAAAAGACAATAAAGTTGCGAAAAACTGAAAAAAGGCAGTGTAAAAGAATTATAGCACCTAACTAATATTTTAATCAACAATATGTCTTTTTATTATTTATTTTAATGTCTGATTATTTTCCTGATCAATATTGAAAATTGTTCATAATGCTTCCCAAAGTTCAATATGTGTTTGACCCAAAGATAGTCAGTTTAGGATCATGTAAGAGAAATAGCAGCAGAAAGTCCTCGAATACAAGTTACTAGAACCGGAAAATGTTTTGAAAATGTACTCACAGGATGTCACAATCATTCAATAAGGATAGATGACACCAGAACATCTTACAAGTACAACTTCTAAAGGCTAGAGAAAGTAAATGGTCCAACGTAAGGCTTCAAAAGCCCACAAGCAGATGCAAACAGGAAATACAGTATCTCTATTTGAAAAGGAGAAAATCTATGACAGCAAATTGGATAAAAAAACATAGCCTCATTAAAAAAAAAAAAAAAAAATTGCATTTAGACTGTTACAGGTTAGGATGTCACCACTTCTTCCAAACTGACTGGCTGGTTGAATATCAATTAAAGTCACAGTAGACAAAGGACAAGATCAATTTGATTAACTAATTGCCTTGATTTCTTTGATTACTTTCTTACCTCAAACAAAGCACGTACAAAAAAAAAGAAATATTACATGACCTTTTCATAACGCGGTTAAGGTCGATGGAGGAGTGGATTCACTGTGACTTACTGAGTTCTGTGTGGAAATGAATCAAAAACTCAAACTCATTAATGTAATGATTAGCAAAACACTGACGCATCTCGTCGAGTGGCTCGGTGAATGTGTGAATGGTATGAATAGGCTGGGCTTTCTGAAGGAACTGAATAGCACATTAAGTGTTCTTCTATGAAATGGAAGAAAAAAGGAAGTCATGATCCTTCTTGAATAGGGCCTAAAATATGCTGAAAACATGAGATCCAAAAGAAAGAAAGAACAAGTTGTACTCTTACAATGGGTCCTTGGATATTTAGTTGAACATGAGGCAGTTCATGGAAATCTCAGTCATGACAAAAGTAATCGCGCTTTGGCCATGACTGATCTGCTCAGACATCAGGGAACATCTGCTCCAGACATGCTGCAATGCTTAACTTACATGCATGGAACATATATGCATGCATTCTGGCAACAGTAATTCCTCTTGATTACACATTTTCTCTACATTTTGAGGTTTTAACCCTGAAGCATACCCTATTCTAACATCATACTGTACTTGAGAAGATTTTAAACTAGCAATTGATACCATAAAATCATTAGGAAAAGGTTTACTGAGGTATTTAAATGAAGTGAGGAGTACGGTAATTCTCTCATAGTCTTCTATACAGTAAGACGCTTTTTTCTAACCTGATATTAGAGCGATTCGTAATTAAAGAAACCTTCGCATCGGCTTTTATTTTCAGAAAAAGGATATAATTTTTACCAACATTTTGGGTCTAATTACTCTCACTTATACTTCCAAATAAAGTGATTTAGATCATTTGGTACCAACCCTGTCCATGAGGAATAAGATATGTGATCTGTGTGTTGTTACTTGTTTGCTAACATAGGTTAAATAAACTAAAGTAGAAAACTTATTTAGAGAAGTTATGGAACTTAAAATGCCTATTATGTGCTATGATATACTTTGGTTAATAGAAACACCCCACTGGTTCATGTATAAGACTTATATGGCTTATATTTAGTATGATATTATATGGCTTAGAACTGTTCTTTATTGATCTGTATTTAGTTCTCCTAATGTCACAATTACTCATTACTGACCATTACAATGGTATAACTAGAAGGGCATTTGGAGAGTCATTGGCCAGTGCTCTTTCAACAAGTATGAAAACACATGTGTATGTTTTACTCATTATTGGATCCAATCGAAAATGGAATGGCTTCTTCCTTGGCCCATGCTAGACCCTTCCACCAAGTTTCATGAAAATCGGGCCAGTAGTGGTTCTGTAATCCTATTGAAAAACAGACGAACCAGATCAAGGACTGTTCAAATTGATTGCTAAAACTAAGAAACAATACCCGTTGTAATATACCACTATTACCACTAATGGGGAGCTAAGTCATGATCAGATTGTATCTTGGACATTGACTTCCACTTCCTAAGTGATGAAAAGCATACAAACTACAGATCAATAATCAGTGGTCATCCAGAATCTTTGCTCCTACATTACAAAGGGCCGTATTAATCAAACAGACACTGTTAGGGCAAGCGGCCATCTTGGCTCTCCCTCCCAACTCAGGAGCCGTATAACAAAAAATGGAAAATGGTAGCTGCCTTTCCAAGAGTCTGAACAATATCTCTCACTGTCATCACTGGATATGGTGGGAGCCATCTTGCTCTGTTTTGGCCCTGGGAGGTCTCTGGTTTGTTCATCACGGTCTCACAGGCCAACCTGTGCAAGAAAGCTATGCTACTCCTCTGCTGGCCTGAGCTGCTGTCCAAATATTGATGTTGTGTGTCTGTATTCTCTCCGGAACAGTGGAGGACAAGATGAAAAACAGACGTATGGATAGAAGACACCCTTTACCTGGGGGATGGATGTTCTTTTTTTTGAGGGAAAAAGAGATAAAGAGACAGGAAGAGCCAAGCAGAAA